TTGGTGAAACATGCTGCTGCTGGTATTTGGTGACATTCACTGTCATGGTCTGCATCTGCCCCTTCCTTCATGTGCCTCCTGGTGTTTCTCCATCCTCTCTAGGTGCTCCTTTTGTGTCCTAGCGCCCTCATGTGTCATGTCTGCGTCTTCCTCATGTGTCTTCTGGTTTTCCCCATTTGCCCCTAGATCTCCAGCCCTCTAGGTTTCTCAGGTCATTTACTTTAGTTACAGCCTTTCATGATTTAGTATGTTTTTTTTTCCCCCATCAGTGTTTATTATTTTTCTCCCCCCTCCCTTTGAATTGTAGTTATGTTTCCTACTCTTTTGTATAAGGTTTTATTCTTAGGTCAAGTTAGTTTCTCCCCTGATTAGTCATTGCCTTCACCTGGTCCTCCTCACACACCCCACACACCTGCAGCTCATCTCCCTCTCATCCTCCCTGTGTATTTAAGCCTGTCTTGTCTCAGTGTCTTGTCGGTCAAAAGACTCTGTGAGTGGAAGGACGGGTTGTTCTTTCTATATTCCGGTGGTAGGTAAAGGGGAGAAAATTAGAACTCCAGATGGTATGTCAGTTTTTACAGTTGAAATGCTGGCAATTTATTTTAGTATGGATTGGATTGAGCAAACTAGATTTAGAAATTGTATAATATGTACGGATTCTTTATCAGTTTTGTTGGCACTTGATTCAAGAACAAATAAAAATAGAGTTGATATTTTTCTAGAAATATTTGAATGCCTATTTAGGTTGTGTGCCTTAGGGATTGAAATAAGATTCATGTGGGTACTGGCGCACAGAGGGATAGAAGGAAATGAATTAGCAGATTATTACGCAAAGCAGGCAGTAAAGTTAGAAGCAGCGATACCGATCCCTTTTAGCAGTAACGAAGTGAAGTCAATGATTAAGGATAGAATTATGAATGAATGGCAGGACATGTGGGTAAGGGATAAAAAGGGAAGACATTTATTTAATATACAGAAAGTAGTAGGTAAAATGACGATTAAGGAGTTAAATAATAGAGAACAAACAATAATAACGAGATTGAGATTAGGACATTCGGGATTAAACAGCACCTTGCATATTTGGGTAAACATCTAACAGGTTTTTGTGATTGTGGGAAAGAACAGGAAACGGTAGAACATGTTTTGTGTTTTTGTAGTAGGTATACAGTAATTAGGGGTGAATTTGTAGATAGGTTGAAAACTAAAGGATATGGTGTTTGGGATTTGAAAACGTTGCTGAATGGTAATAAGTCCATTTATAAACTGGTGCTAGAGTTTCTTAGGAAAATTAAGGTATTTAAAAGAATTTAGTTTTTTTTCCTCTCCTCGCTCTGACTCACACTCCTGCACAGTAGGTGGCGGTAATGCACCTTAAGTTGGTTGCCACCCGCCATTTAAAAGGACGTGAAGAAGAAGAAGAATTGTCTTGTCAGACACTTTATAGAATAAGCATGATGGGACATATAATACATTTTTATGGATTCCAGCTCATTGTGGAATCCGAGGTAATGAAGGAGTCTATAAGTTGGCTAAGGAAGCAACACTAAATGCATCGGTTCAGTTAGATGTTCCCTTTTGTCAAAAAGAGATCAAGAGCATAATAAGGCAAGAAATGAAGAAGTGGCAAAAACAATGGGAAGAGCAAAGGAGGGGAAGATGGTTGTGTGAAATTCAAAGAAGAGTAGGAGAAATGAGAAACACTGGAAGGAGTAGGAGAGAGGAGGTGATCATTGCTAGGCTAAGGTTTGGACATACTGGGTTAAACAATACATTCATTATTCATGATAGGGAAACATAATACAGGGAAATGTGATTATTGTGGAGAAGACGAAACAATAGATCATGTTATATTACATTGTCAGACATATCAGGCGGAAAGCAGGACAATGGTTCACACTCTTAGTCAGATGAAAGTGAAACTGGATCTTGTTGATTTATTGAGACAAAGTTCAAGGAGTGACTGTTTTCAGATTTTATTTCGGATTTTGAAAGAGACAATGATGTTTGGGAGACTTTGAGGTTGTTTTTTTTTTTGTTTTGTTTTGTTTTGTTTTCCCCTGTTTGGTTTTGTTTTGAGAACGCTGTTCCAGACCACACTCCACACTAGTTGGTGGCAGTAATGCACCTCTCGTTGTTTGCCAACCGCCAATAAAACACCAAAAGACGAAGAAGAAGTGTCTTGTCGGTCCATTGTGGTAATTCTGTCTCTCGGTCCTAGTCTCCAGTGTTTTTGATCTCTAGTTTTGGACTACCTTTGGATTTATTGGCTCCCAGCCTTTTTGGATTCATTTTATTTTTGTTCATCCTCTAATAAAAGGATTTTTTCCGTATATCTACTCCTGCCTCATGTCCTCCTGGGTATCTGTGTCACGATCTGCCCCTGCCCAACCTGACTGTGTTCCTCTCCTGCCGTGATTGCCCTTATTGTTCTCACCTGTCCCTCGTTTACCTGCCCATGTTTCCCTAATTAGCCCTCTGTATTTAAACCACCTGTTTTGCCCCTGTCCTTTGTCAGTTCATTGTTGTTGTTTGTTGGTGTTCCTGTTCATCCCATCCTGCCATTAAACCATTTTTACTTTTACTGAAGCCTGCATTTTTACCTCCTGCTCAGCTCATCCACACATGGTCCGCCGTCTCCACCTCGTTCACCGTGACAGAATGAACTGACCAAACCGGGACCTGTGGTGAGCTAACACCTGATCCCTGGAGGATTTATTTTTTTACTTTTTCTCCTTTAGCAGAAGGAGATTCTGGCCCAGGGTGTTGGTGCATCCTACCTGTTCTCCAGGGTGGTCAAGCCTCTGGGTGGGTTTCGGCGCATCCAGTTCGTTTCCTGTGGTGGTCGAGCCCTTCTCCTCTCCTGCTTTCTGTCCCCGTCCCGTTCTGTCATGGAAGCCCCGGATCCTGGAGCTTTGAGGGCGTTACACCCCCTACGCACGCCATCGTTCTCCGGGGTGGTAGGGCTGGTCTCCCCGCTCTTCTCCTGCTTCCCTGCACCCAAGCCTCTTCCTGAGATCCAGCTAATCGTGCCGTGCACCTGCTCTGACCGGCTGTCGAATGCCTGCCGCCGATCCTGGTCTTCTGGCGTCGCTTCTGCAGATTGTCCACTTCCTGGTCCACGCTGTGGGGCTTATGCCTGCAGGTCTCATGCTGCTGCAGCCTCTGCTGGGTCCCACGCCTGCTCCTGCAGTTCTCTGCCTAGGTCCCACGCCTGCTCCTGCAGCCCCTGCTGGATCCCACGCCTGCTCCTGCAGTTCTCTGCCTGGGTCCCACGCCTGCTCCTGCAGTTCTCTGCCTGGGTCCCACGCCTGTTCCTGCAGTTCTCTGCCTGGGTCCCACGCCTGTTCCTGCAGTTCTCTGCCTGGGTCCCACGCCTGCTCCTGCAGTTCTCTGCCTGGGTTCCACGCCTGCTCCTGCAGTTCTCTGCCTGGGTTCCACGCCTCTTCACGTCCAGTCAAGTCTTCACGGTCAAGTCAAGTCCCGTTCCAGTCGAGTCCCGTTCCAGTCGAGTCCCGTTCCAGTCGAGTCCCGTTCCAGTCGAGTCCCGTTCCAGTCCCTGTTCCAGTCATGTCGAGTCCCAGTCCCTGTTCCAGTCATGTCCAGTCTTCAAGTCCCCGTCTCCTGTTGTATAGCCTTGTAGGCGTCTGGTATCCGCCCTTAAGGGGGGGGGGGGGGGGGGTACTGTCACGATCTGCCCCTGCCCAACCTGACTGTGTTCCTCTCCTGCCGTGATTGCCCTTATTGTTCTCACCTGTCCCTCGTTTACCTGCCCATGTTTCCCTAATTAGCCCTCTGTATTTAAACCACCTGTTTTGCCCCTGTCCTTTGTCAGTTCATTGTTGTTGTTTGTTGGTGTTCCTGTTCATCCCATCCTGCCATTAAACCATTTTTACTTTTACTGAAGCCTGCATTTTTACCTCCTGCTCAGCTCATCCACACATGGTCCGCCGTCTTCACCTCGTTCACCGTGACAATCTGCATATTTGGGTCCTAAACCTCCAGCGAAATGCGACATTCACAGGTTCTGTACAGATCCAGATGCTAGTGATGTATACTAAACTAATTCCTTTATGCTAGGACCTATTTAAGTAAATTCACAATATCATTTGCATGAGGCTTTAAGGATTTCATGGGTCTTTGCAGTCCTGGTTTAGTTTTTGATTATAAAATCTCAAAATAACGTTTTACAATACTTGTTTTCCCAGCATTTCAACTTAAATTTTGACATTTTCTGTTAGATTTTTTCTCTTTTCTGATTAGCCCAAATAGGCCACCACAGCCAGAGGAATCATCAGGTAGATGTACTTAAAATATTTGATCATTAACTCCAAAGTTTCTCATAAATGATCTTTGTAAAACTCATGGTGAAAGTGGTGGCTGATTTTTATTCCTTCATAGAAAAGTAGATTATTATTTTGTTTGTTTGTTTGTTTATTGTCGTGAATCTGTTCTTTAGATTATGGCTGGAGGTAAACATAATTTGTTTCTCAGTCATTTAGCTCTTCTGGGTTAAATTAATATTATAAGATTATAATGTTGTAAAATATGGTTGTGTTTTTATAACACCCCTCACACGCGCGCGCACACACACTCTTAATGAGATAAAAACACACAACCTTAATGAATAACGTTTGTTTGATTTTATTTTTAATATTTACGCATTTCACGTAAGTTAAAAAAAAGTTTGGATTCACTAGAAGGAAGTATTTATTTAGGGATTTGTTGAAAGACCTCAGCGGAGGTCGGATTTCAGAGCATTCTCTGCGCTTCGGCGCATTTGACACGCAGACTGTCTGCTTGTCACAAATAAAAGATATAAGAAGGTCAAGGAGTCAGAGCGTAAACAACTGGCTCTTGTGAAACTGCGCCAGCCTCACCTCTGTCGGGGTGAAGCTTTGATGTGGCAGTAATCAGGGGACGGATTCGCTTTCTTCCAATCACCGCGCTGGCGAGATGAACCCCGTCCGCGGTGCCGCTGCGCTCTGCGCGTTCACGCCAGAGCTATAAGCAGCCGTGGCGCGCAGAGAGCTGACAGAGTTGAAATGAGAGGAGGCATCATCGCGCCGGATGCTGCTGGAGTCTGAGCCATCAGGAGGGCTGAAAATGCCATCAGGGCAAACTTTTTCTGTGTGTCTTTGGTGACACACGGCTGCTTTCTGACTTTGGAGGTGAGGAGAAGAGTTCAGGCATGTCTCTGAATGAGACTGGAGTCCAGACGGTGGCTCCAGAGACATGTGAGCAGCAGCTTTTACAGGAGGACAATGCTGGAAATGGTAACGGAGGTTCCACCAGCAGCAACTTGTCGCTGCACTGCTGGCTGCAGCTCCTGACAAGGGAATCCATCATGGAGTTTCAAGGAGACAGCTCCAGCGTTGTGGTACGTGTGATGATAGCTTGTGTGTACTCTATAGTCTGCGCTCTGGGGCTGGTGGGAAACTCACTGGCTCTGTATCTGCTGCTCTCACGCCACAGGAAGAAGCAGTCATCCATCAACTGCTTTGTGATGGGGCTTGCGATCACGGACCTGCAGTTTGTTCTGACCTTGCCCTTCTGGGCCGTGGACACGGCCCTGGACTTCCGCTGGCCCTTTGGCCGAGTGATGTGCAAAATCATCAGCTCCGTCACCACCATGAACATGTACGCCAGCGTGTTCTTCCTGACAGCCATGAGCGTGGCACGTTACTACTCCATCTCATCGGCGCTGAAGATGCACAGCCGAAGGGCAGCTGCAGCCCGGGCCAAATGGACCAGCCTCGGCATCTGGGCCGTCTCTCTGCTGGCCACTTTGCCTCATGCCATCTACTCCACTAGCGCCGAGGTGTCGGACGAGGAGCTTTGCCTGGTGCGTTTCCCAGACTCGGGCAGCTGGAATCCACAACTTCTTTTGGGTTTGTACCAGCTGCAAAAAGTCTTGCTGGGTTTCCTGATCCCTCTATTCATAATCACAGTCTGCTACCTGCTTCTGCTGCGTGTCATCCTCAGCCGGCGCATCGCAGGAGCAGCAGTCCCAGAGGTCAAGCAAGGTCGGCAGAATCGCCGTTCCAAAGTGACCAAATCCATCGCTATTGTGGTTCTGTCCTTCTTCTTGTGCTGGCTTCCAAATCAGGCTCTGACTCTCTGGGGGGTGCTCATAAAATTTGACCTTGTCCCCTTTAGCAAGGCATTTTACAACACCCAGGCCTACACCTTCCCCCTGACTGTGTGCCTGGCGCACACCAACAGCTGCCTCAACCCTGTGCTCTACTGCCTGGTTCGCAGGGAGTTCCGGGCAGACCTCAAGGAGCTTCTCCTCCACGCCACGCCGTCCTTCAGGAACTTGACTCATCTGCTGCGTCGCAAGGCCAAAGTGGCGGAGGCACCACCTGTCCTGGTGCTGGTCCAAATGGACGTGTGACTCGGAACAACATCCTACTGTGACAAAGAAATTGAAAGAGCAAATAACTAACTCACAAAGTATACTGGCCATATTGATCTGGAGACGCTAGCTGTGAGACAGTATTTATTTTAGCCTTCCCAAAACAGAAAATCGCACTTCTCTCCGGCTGTAGAGGACAACATAATCACAGCAGACAGCGCTGTGGGGGTGTGCACCAATTTCACTGTCGTCTCTGAGACTCACTTTGCTGCATATCCTTTTGTTGTTACAGCTCTCTACTTCACTCTGTGTCTGATCGGTAAAATATCTGCTCTCCGGAAAAAAATATCATGTACAAATACAGGGGGGAAAAAAGATGTGAGCCATTCCATTTTTGTATTTGTGGAGTTTTGGGGTGCTTTCTGTGAACATCTAAGATGTGTAGAAGTTTTAGCTTTACCATAAATGCAGTAACACGGCACATATTCATTGTTAACTCTGCAGATTTAACATTTGTGTTGATGTTGGGGAAAATGTAACCACGTGTCATTTATTTTTCTAAACATATAAATAGCATACCCCTTGCATATTGCATCATCTTGAGAAAAAAAGGCTGAAATTGGACCAAATGAAACAATAAAAAAGCAAATAAAGAATAAAAACTTCAATCAATTTTCTTTTTTTTTAGGCAAGGCCACTATGCAGCCTCTAAAAACAGAACATTTACACAAGGTTTGTTTTTTAAGGCAACAATTTCTCATGTGAGCTAAGGATGTTTGTAGAGTTGTGTGCAAACAAGTAGAACAGCTTTTGCTCGCTGGATGGCTCCCATTTGCTCTGAGAGGCGGCACGTAGCCTCACAAACACACATAAGCAGTTTTCTCTAAGCAGCAGAAGTGTCAGATTGAACATGAATAATTTAGATTTGCATCAAATTTGCATCGTTTTCAATCCAGGCCCTTCATTCTTAAAAATGAGGACTTTTTTATTTACCGTTTCCTGTAAGCGTATTTGCTTTTCTGGGAAATCACGCAGTTGCTTATCATATCAGCTGCAGGGTACGAGTTTAAATGATTAAAATTAAAAAGTGAAACAGGGCATTTTTTCTAATTATTGTTTATTTTTTACTTCTTTTATGAAAGAGATGTTTTAATAAAACAAAATAACGACAGGTGAGATGTATTCTGAATAAAAGCTTTCAAACAGAACTTTTTTTTTTGAAGAATTGGGGCTGAAGGTGAAGTCAAAATTTGCAGCACACGCCGTACGTGTTGAAATTTAAAAAAGTAACCAGAGGCGCTGATGGTGTTGTAAAACTCTGGCAGGAGGGCTTGTCTTGTCTTTTATTAATGAGATTTAATTATATGTGATTCTGTATTTGCACAGTGCCTCTTCTGCCAATAACAGCATCAGCAATGTGCTGCAAAGCCCATCTGTAATCAAAGGAGGGACTGATGGTGCCTGCGCATCAAAGGTGTCCTCCGATGGAGGGAGGCAGCATTTATTTTTCCTGATGGATAAGGAGAAATTAAAAGATAAATTTTGACTCTGATGAATCAGTCTGGCAATGCAAGCTCATGATAGTTTTACATTTATTCCTAATGAGGTGTTAATAACTGACCCAGTCAAGCTTCTGCTTTGCATCCGCCTCAAACAAAAGACACTAAAATCACTTCCACAGTGGGAAAATACCTTTCAGTTCTAATGGTGTTTGTGCTGCTTGCTTTAACATCTGCCTATATATTTTTTATTTTACTGCCATTAATGGTGAATTTAAATGTGATTTGTGTTCTTCCTCGTAACTAATGCACCACTGGCAAAAATTAAAGCTCTCCTGGATGTTATTTGTGAAGTGGTAAAATTGCAGATGTATAAAAAATATATTCACTAGCATCTGATTATACATCAGAGTCCGTTCAGATACATTTGTTTTGATGCCATGTTGCAGTTGACGTAAATTCAACCAAAGTTGTAGGTACCTGTCATTGTCCTCAGTTTGGAGAGATAGAGATTGGTGTTGAGTGGATTATTATTAATAATAATAATAATAATACATTTAATTTCAGGCGCCTTTCAAACACCCAAGGTCATCGTAAACTTTTTTATTGATTGATATTGATGAGCTGACAGCTAGTTTGAGCCAGACCAAGACCAAAATGCACTGCTGCCTTCATAAAACCCAGTCTAGAAATAGTCTACAGAGTTTATTTAATAAACTGTAACGCTGTTGTCAAGTTTGCATTTATATACATTGTTTGGAGCTGAAATTCACCACCCTGCCAAAACTGGTTGCCACCCAAAAATAAGGTCACACAATGTTATTTTGTTGGATTGCCTTCAGCTTTGATTACGACACACATTCGCTGTGGCGGTGTTTCGTAAGATTCTGCAATGTCACAAGATTTATTTCCATCCAGTGCTGCATTAATGTATCACCAAGCTCCCACATTGATGATAGTAGAGTCTGACCTTCTCCAGCACATCCCAACGATTCTCAATGGGGTTAAGGTCTGGACTCTGTGGTGGCCAATCCATGTGTGAAAATGATGTCTCATGCTCCCTGAACCACTCTTTCACTATCTGAGTCTGATGAATCCTGGCATTGTCATCTTGGAATATGCTCGTGCCATCAGGGAAGACGGAATAACCTGGTCATTCAGTATATTCAGGTAGTCAGCTGACCTCATTCTTGGAGCACATCCTGTTGCTGAACCTAGACCTGACCAACTGCAGCAACCCCAGATCATAGCACTGCCCCCGCAGGCTTGTACAGTAGGCACTAGGCATTATGGATGCATCACTTCATCTGCCTCTCTTCTTACCCTGATGCACTATCACTCTGGAACAGGGTCCATCTGGACTCAACAGACCAGTTTTTAGTAATGTGTTGGACAGTTCTTAACCCAGTTTTAGTTGTTTCTGCAATCTCCTTAGATGTTTTCTCTGCAGACTTTCTTTTCCGCGACCACCAGATGTGTCTTTCCACATGGTTGTTTAAGAAATAAGAAGCAGCTTGTTGCACAAGTTGGAGTTCCTATTTGCTTAGTTAAATCCAGGAGGCAACTGGGTAGTGTATGTGACAGTGCTGACTGTGTGTTCTGTTCAGCGTATAAAATATTTAAAAGAATTGGTAAAGAAAAAGTTGCTAAATTAGGTACAATGATTTAGAGGTTTGTAAAATAATGTTTGTATGAACTGCTTTGAGATTTCCTGGATTTGATTTCACTTTAAATTCTACTTTGGTCTGGGTCCTTTTCAGAGCTGTAAATTTCTCTAACTAATCTCAGGTTGAGGTTGTCGAGAAATCTATCCCAGCCATGGACGTAATTTTCACTTTAGAAGGGGGGTGGGGGGTGGGGGGTCTTTACAGTATGTTCTAATGGGAAACAGGCTTCAACACAAACGGTTGTTTTCTGCTTGGTCCTTGAGTTCAACCAGTGTCAGTTTAATATAGCATAATATTGTTTTTGGATGGTAACAAGTGCAGGGGTCCAAACGTGACTTTGGAAAAAGTTGGGGGGACATGTCCCCCCTGTCCCCCCCAAAATTACGTCCATGATCCCAGCTCAGTCTTTTAACATTTCTTTCTCCAAGCACAAGCTATGGTAACGGTGACAAAACCAACCTGGAAGATAACTGGAGAGTGTAAAGAAAAATTTGGTTGGTTTAACCATATTGTAAGGAGAAACTGTCTTTACTCAGTTTTATTGTTAAGAAGACTCAAAGGTTGTTTTCATCGATAAACTGCCGATAATATCTGAGTGTCTGTGTTTCAGTTCAATGAGGAAACCAGTTTGACAATTAAAAGTTTTAATTCTTCAAATTAAACTAATGATTTTGAAAATTGACAAACAGGAAATAACAATCAACATTTGCAACTTTGTGGGAAAATCTTTAACAGTTGATATGCTGTTCTTGCTCAAATAGACCTTCTGGTGAATTTACGAAGATTGAGAATGTCGTGACATGAATGCGTGTGTGAGTCTGATTTTGCTTCAGGAAGAAACAGGTGACTGAGTGAAAAGTGATGGTTTGAATAAACTTAGGTTTAGTTGGAAAAGATGCATCCAAACGCTAAACACTGTGTTCTGTCTCACCAAACTCTTGTGGACCCTCTTTCGGATCCGGGCCGTGGAGGATGTTGTGGTTCATCCATATGACACTCAACGGCTGACAGGGAAGACGTAGGTGTCGAACGGAACCGGTCCAGAATTGCCCTCGGTACACGTTGATGGTAGAGCGTTTTGTCGACGCGCTTTCTTAAGTTAATTCACTCAGAAATCAAAAGACTCGGTAATGAGTCTGCGTTAGAAGTCGCGATTCAGCTATTCTGCCTGGCTTGGCAGAAACAGCGTGAAAGGGGGGAAGAACGAGCCAACAGGCTCTGCCCCCCCCCCTTTGGTTTTCAGGTCTGTTCTCTTTCGTTGTCAAGCACGAACTGAAATCCTAAGACTGAAACTTACCAAAAACCTTTCTCTTCTCAAAGCAAACGTGTGCGTCATCAAATGTGTCTGGAGTTTACTGTGGGAAGATGTGTGTGGGTGTGTGTGAATGTTTGTGTGTGAAGGTCAGCAACAAACATCCTCAACACTATCTAATTATGGATTCATTAAGCCATTATAATTACCCCAAAGCATAAGAACCATTCATTTGATTAAACACATTTATAATGAGCAAAATGATAATGGTTACTTTAACATTAAAATCAAGAAAAAGAAGTTTAAACTATATGTTTTGACTTGGTCTGGGTACAACTCATGGAAACACATCTTCTGGTAGACTGCAGGTGGCTGATGTTATGGTTTCCTCCCAGACTCGCTGGCGTTCAGGTCTTAATCTGTGGGTGAAAGTTCTCAATGACCCAGCTTTGACCCAGCTGCGTCCCACACCACCATTGTGACAGAAAACCCATATTTCCTCACGTTACAAGAGAAACCTGCCAGAGAGAACAGCGATGCAAACAAACACAGGCATGATTTTGTTAAAAGTTGCTGGATTCAGAAACTACGTTTTTTTGCTATTATTGATCCACTATTTTAAAATCATACTCTACATTTTACTTTGGATATGAAAACAATTTTGAGGAAATAAAATTGACACTTGCCAATAGCAGCATTAATATCCTCAATTAGAAGACATGTAAAAAGATTCCATTTAGGAGGTTTTTAAGGGAAGTACAAGGGGTAGCATTCTTCAAAATGTCATATTTGAGAAAACAAATGAGTTTAGGCATTATGGTGGTTTTTTTACATGTAAAAAAATAGTAATAAGTAGCCAGCTTCATTTTATACAATTATAGATGATTTAAAGCTGCAAAACCCATCAATACACGCTTTATGCACTTTTCTCAGACAAGCATTAACATTGTCACACTTTTCTCTCATGTTTAAACACTCTCAATGCCCTGTAATAAGCATGCAAAAATTCTGCTAAAGGTAAGAATTGTTTTCAGGTGTATTTACTAGGTTTTTCTTAACTAATTAACAAAATGAGCTGCTTGAACACGTTTGAGCTACCTGAATGTTTTTCCACACAAAAGCACCACTAGAACACCAAATGCTGATTAATCGGGAGCAGGCACTGGAGCAGCTCAGAGGTGAGTAACAGGTACCAGGAGAATGATGATAATAAAAGCTGCGATGGCTTACGGTGTAACATTGGAGTGTGAACAGGAGACGCACGGGAGGATGTCAGAATAGGAGGAGATCCAAAAGCCAGGGAGTTAAGCAGCCGTGGTTCTGGAGAAGCTGATTCTCCAGAACCACTGGTTCTGGAGAAGTGAGAGAGGTGACTCTGCTGTAGAGCTTGTTAGCTGGGAGGTGTACACCTGAGCGTCTCCATAAGCCCTCCAACAACCTGTGGATGAAAGAACACCTCCCACAGCCCTGGAACCTGACAAGATGCACTACTCCGTGCATTCGGTTCGGTACGGGTCTAACATTGCACTGCTCTCCTGCCCCAGCGCTGCTACCACTGTAACTTTTAAAACCAGGAGTGGCATGTTCTGCGGGTGGAGGTGGCAGACCATGTGTGGTGGTGGGTTCCGGAGGCAGATGAGCAGGCAGACGGATGTAAAAAATAAAAAGATGTTTATTGTAGGACAGGAGCACAGGACGAACGAACATGGACAACAACAATAAACCGACAAAGACAACAACCAGGAGGGAGGTATAAATACACAAGGGAATCAGGAACACATGGGCAGAGTAATCAGGGGCAGGTGAGAACAATTAGGCTAATCAGGGCAGGAGAGACACATTCAGGGAGGCTGGGGCAGATCATGACAGTACCCCCCCCCCCCCCCCCCCCCCCCTCAAGGGGCAGATACCAGACGCCCACAAGCCACAAAACACAGGAGACACGGGCACGAACGAAGACCAGACCAGGGAACAACGAACACAGTCCAGGGCCGCGGAGCAGGGGCCTCTAGGAGTAGGCGGCACTCAGTCTTACAACCAGACGTGTCCACGAACTTAGACCAGGGAAACTGGACACGATGACTTGACTGGACACGATGACTTGACTTGACACGATGACTTGACTGGAACACTTGACTCCAGGAACACAGGACACCAGGAACACAGAGACGAACTGCAGCAGCAGGCATGGGACCCAGCAGGAACTGCAGCAGCAGGCATAGGCCCCAGCAGGAACTGCTGCGTGGAGAACCTGCAGGCACAGAACCTGCAGGCGTGGACCAGGAAGTGGTTGAGTAGCGGGAGCGACGTGTGGAAGCCCAGCTCGGCGGCAGGTACTCGACATCCCAATCAGAGCAGGTGCACATCCGATCTGCTGGGTCCATCAGCGGAGGCTCGGGTGAAGGGAAGCCGGAGAAGAGCGGGGAGACCAGCCCTACCATACCGGAGAATAATGGCGTGCGTAGGCGGTGTAGCTCCCTTGAGGCTCCAGGATCCGCGGCTTCAGGAGACGAACGGGACGGGGCTAAAACAGCTGGAGGAGAACGACCCTGGCCACCCCGAAGATAAATAGGAAGCGCCAGGATCTCCCAGAGGAACTTCGACCACCCCGAGAACAGGTAGGATGCGCCGAACACAAACTCCAGGCCAGAAATCTCCCACAACTGAAAGGGACAAAAAGAAAAAATAATCCTCCAGGAACAGGTGTGTTAGCTCACCACAGGTCCAGGTTTGGTCGGTTCATTCTGACATGTTCTGCGGGTGGAGGTGGCAGACCATGTGTGGTGGTGGGTTCCGGAGGCAGATGAGCAGGCAGACGGATGAAAAAAATAAAAAGATGTTTATTGTAGGACAGGAGCACAGGACGAACGAACATGGACAACGACAATGAACCGACAAAGACAACAACCAGGAGGGAGGTATAAATACACAAGGGAATCAGGAACACATGGGCAGAGTAATCAGGGGCAGGTGAGAACAATTAGGCTAATCAGGGC